AGAGAAAGGGCTACACGTTTCATGCAAGTGTCAAAAGAAAATTTGGAGTGCAGAGGATTCAAGTTATCAATTTTCGTTCTATACTTAATAAAAATAAATTAGTTAGTTTTGGGGCGGCTTATAATTTTTGGGCTGATGCTCTTAAAGCCGATTTTATTTATATTTAAGCTAAACTCAACATTAGAAAAAATTAGACAAGTTTATAAGAATTAAAAAGAATATTAGGATTGCATGTCTGACTAACCTCCATGTTTAATCTATTGTATCAGAATTTCATCAAGAATTTGATGTTATTATATCATCAATTTTTATTAAATTCTTTTCAATCTTGTTTTGTGTATTCTTGTTTTGATTAAAAAATTTATCAATGTCGATTCCTTAACTTTGTGTGTTAACTTAATTTATTCGTTAACTTCGCTCGATCTTCACCCGTAATGCTTAATGCGGCAAATAAAAATATAATTCACATAGTGTTGATCACGCTTGTTGTTGCGGTGAGAATAGGATATCAAATTATTAATTAATTTGAATCGCAAATCTTTAATTCACAATCGGTCTTTAATTTATTCCAAGGAAAGGTCAAAGAAAGGAAAAACCTAACTTTTGCATCGTAAACAATGCGGGGAGAGACCTAGGTAAGGGGTTGGTTAAGCTTAGGGAAGGTATTAGCACCCCAAACTTCTTTAGTACTCTACAGGAACCACTCGCTTACACTCAAGCAACTAAATTTGCTTGATTACGATCCACCGATCAAAATCATCCGATTAAATTCAAACGACTAAATTCCTCTGATGAAACTCATCTAAATAAATTCGTCTGATTAACTTCATCCAATTAAAATCATCTGATTAAGCTTTGACGTTCCAAACCACGAATTCGATAATTAATCATCTTGCACGATTTAAATCTGACGTAAATGCTGAGGTCAAATAAGTCCCTTTTGCCCTTCATAGATTAAATCGACAATTCATGATTTTCCTGCAAATAAAACCAACAGACTGGACAAACTGGTTAGCGGTCAGTTAAAATGCGATGCAGAATAAGATGAGATGCGAAAAGAACCTAATAATCTAAGGGTAAAATTTGGGGTGTGACACTTGTTAATCGATACGATAACCAAATAGAAATTGAATCCCCTTAGAGAATTAGTGATATAATATCTGATGATAAGTCTAAAATTATCGAACCAATAGATTAATCCGTTAATCATAATTGTAATTGCTTTCTTTATTTTCAATTGTCTGAAAACCTAAATCCCTCTTTTTCGTTTCTTGCTTTTGGTTAAGTTAACTTAGAGTCCTTGTTATACAAATCAAGTATCACTTCCTTATTTTATAATTTGTTTACTCATTTTTAACTTGTGTGCGACAACTGATCAGATAGTTACCAAGATCAATGACAATGAAGGAGGTGATAAAACTAAAGGGGTTGCTAACCACATTGAACAAGACTATATCAAGGTCTGACTAGAACACATTTCTATTTGACAAGTTATTTAATAAATAAACTCCGAGTGAACCACAAAGTGTGAGTAAGCGTTCACAACTCTAAAAGAAACCTTTTTAACTTTTCTACTAAAATTTCTCGAAGGAGATGAATTCGTGCACACTCTTACTAAAGTACATGAAGGGATTGATATAAAACACCTAGGAGTCCGAGTCCTAGCCAATAAGATACTTATGACTTAATATTATTGGTCATCCATGGTCCAAGACACCAAGGAGCACACGAAGAAATGCAAGCAATGCCAGAAGCGTAAAGACATCAATAACACTCTCCATCCGGACTACACGTGTTGACATCACCATGGTCTTTCTCACAATGAGGCATGTACATCCTCGGTTCTTTCCATATGGCTTTGAGACAATAAAAATATTTGATTCTAGTAGTTGATTATTTTACAAAGTGGGTTGACACATAATCCTTAGCCAAGATTACACGCAACCATCGTACTAAAAATTCTTTAAAATAAACATTTTGGTGTAGTAGAAATTCTCCAAGCTATCATAACAGATAATGGGACATAGTTTAAAGATAATAATTTGAAGAAGTTATTATAGTATCTAAAATTCAAGAAACACTTTACATCACTTGAGAATCCCCAGACGAACAGGAAAAAAAGAAACAAAGAACGGGGTTTTACTGAAAGGATTAAAGAGAAAACTCGAAGAAATAAAGGGAAGTTTGGAAGAGGAACTTCCACATGTCTTTTGGGCCTATAGGAGAAGGGGAATTAACCTTTTGTTAGACATTGTCCTTAGAGAAGTCAAAACAAAGTGGACGCTTAGCTCGTCTGCGCCTCCGATACAATGAAATGAAATTGTGAAATACTATACAATGAAATAGAATTGTGAAAGACTATATGAGTAAGTGAAATAATAAAATATTGCACGATGAAATAAAATCGTACACGACTGTATCAAAATATAACGTAAATACCATCCAAATTAATTCCCTCGATGTGGGTAGTGATGAGTCCGACTTCTTAGTTGGGGTTCCTCCTAGATTCTAACCATTATTGTGGTTCCTTTTAGTGGTGTTTCTAGCATGCCCGTTGTACAAGTGAGACATCCCCATCTCCCTAAAATGTCCTCTCTATTGTCTCTTTTAAGATTGGATTGAAATTTAGAGATGGAGACGAGGAGGCATTATTTTCCATCTGAGCTTCCTTTCTCTTGAATATATCACGGATCAGTCCCATGTTATCTGCAAGACAAACAAAAAAGTGTGTCAGAAAAAACACTAAGAGGAGAATGAAGACAAATTAAAAGACTTTTTCATCTCTCGTAAAAAAGATACTTTCTCTCTTAGACAGTGGTTGTTTCTACAAAAGCATCAGGTATCAATGTAACACATTTCTACTAAATAGGCGGTACATCCAAAGAGTCAACACCATCTTCATAACCCAAAGTCTCTCAAAAGACAAACAAATCATGTTTTAGTGTCTTCTCTTCTGGTATGAGAGAGTCAGAAGCAAAAATGTATCTTTTCGGAGGCTGGAATAAATGATATTGGGCCTAGCCTTTTTTTAGATCTTGTCCCGCATTTCGCCGACTCAGAACACAGGGAAAAACCATCTTCAGGAAGAATGTAGAAAAAGGAATGAGCTTCTCGAGTTCGGGGAGTTACCGAGAAGTAATGATCTTTAAATTTTTTTCCAACTTTTAAGATAAATGTCAAACACCTTCACCGATTGACGGAGCGAAAGTAACCCTACCCCGCTCCTCTCAAGCATAAGTGTATGTCGCGTTGAAGAGGTTGAAGAACAATCTAAAAGTTGACACTCTCTGATACTCGAACGACTATTGAAATACCTTAACAAAGAGTGCAACTAGGATGACACAATCCTCACATGATTTAAAACCTCCAACTCGAAGCCTTTAGAAGGCAGTCTAAACTTTAATCTGTAAACATACATTCATTAAGGGTCTGTTTGGATTGATGGAAATGGATGGAATGGAATGGAGTGGAGTGGAGTTATCTTTCATTGTTTGAATTTACAAAAATTGAATGGAATGGAATGGAGTATGATGGAACACATTCCATCCAATACCACTATTTTGGCTCATTTTTCATTCCCTCCAAATTGGGGTGTATCCAATGGAATGGAATCAATTAATAAAACAATTACAATTTTATCCTCCAAATTTTCAGTTTTATTATTAACTGTTCCTATTCCTTATTTCAATCAACGTGATTTTTTCTATTCATTCACTGCAACTTTTCTCCTTCACAGGCCTTCTTCTTGCTTGCAAAGTGTCTATCTTTCTTCTACCCTAACAAGGTACATCATATTTCTTCTCATTTTTTTATCTGTATTTATATGTGTGCTCTATTAAATTAAATATCTTGATTTATCTTCATGTTCATGTCTTTTTCATTTTTAAAAAATTAGGTATAATTACTAAAAACAAAACCTAAAATTATGATTTATGTTGCTTTATAGTGTTTTGTATGTTAAATTAACTTTTTATTAAGATAGAAATTAGATTTGTTGCAAAACTACTATTCCTGTTGCTTTTCACTACTATTCATGTTGATTGTATTCTTATTTGTGGACATTTTAATTTATTACTGAATGTTTTAATTTCTTTCAAGTGTTAAGTTGATATTTTTCTATGATTACTTATATATTATTTTAGTGTGAGAATGTTGGATCTATCACTATTGTAGCAAAGAGTAAAAATGGAATAAAAAAAGTTATAATACTTTCCGCTCCGTCCAATTCCCAAACAGTTGAATAAGATATTAGTTCCGCTCCGTTGTAAAATATCCAAACAGTGGAATGAAATTTATATTCCGTTCCGTTCCATTCCCCTCCATCCTATTTCGTTCTGTTATTTTTAAATTATCCAAATATAGCCTAAAAGGCACCGAACACTCTCCGAAAGAACTACATATTCTCTTGCCAGAGTCGGCAGGAGTAACCGATCAATCAAAACTTTATGCTATTCAAATTATAACCATTAAACAATTAGATTAAGAAAATGCTGGGATAATTTTATTCACATATCATCCAAGTTCCAATGTTAGCGTGGAGATGTGATGGTAATTACATAACTCCCATTGCCGTACGTTGTTTATTTCACAACAATTCACAACTCCTCCTGTCTTTTTAACATTCCAAAGCACTTTTTGATAACTATGCATCTTTCATTATCAAAATAAGCACTTTTTTATACTAAAGAGTAAACTCAAATTATCCATAAATGGATCCATGCACAATCTATGTAATTCAATATCACTATACAAAAGTAACCAAAACTGAAAGAATAGTACAATCCAAGTAACAAGACAGCATAATATACAACAACATTATTATCTTCAAAAAACAACATGAACCCAACAATTAATAAGTCATCATCACCATGAAACACCTTGAGCTCTTAACCATCTTTCCCAGGCCAATAAAAATTTAGGCAAAAAGATAAGAACAATCACAGAACTCATAACTGTTTTCAACGAAGAACTTCCTCCTAGTAGTTCTGTAAAAGTTGACATCAAAGCAATCCAAATTTCGTTAGAAACTTCTTTACGGTTTCGCGGCCCCACTCTACATCATTTTGCAAGGCATTACCATGAATTGGCTCTGCATTCGACGCTTCTTCCATTGTTGGTGCTAAATGAAACTGCTCCTCGTGGAAACTCAGCTCGTCGTTGATTGTTGTATTTATCTCCTGTGCTATGTCATCATCTGATTCTTGATCCTTACTCAACTGAACATTTACATATTAAGCACATGAAGAAACAACATTAATATAAGATTGAATGCTTGTTATGTCTTTGAAACAAACCTGCAGGTTCTAAAATAAGGTCTACGACTGCGATCTGAGCTGCAACAACACAACAATGTGCTCATGTTTTTGCAACCACATTTGACTGCAATTTTTGCAATATCAAAGATCGCAGCCGCAGCCTTGACTTAGAACCATGCCAGCATTTTTCAGACTCCAGTAAATTCTGTTATTATGGCTTGGGTTATTCAATAGCCTAAAGGTCATGGTAACGTTATGTCACGATTATAAGCAAAAATTCACATTTTAGATTCATTGAATAACTGATGTATCTGGTCTATATATATTAAATTAGAAACATCTGTTATTTGATGAATCAGAAACAAAAGTTTTGCTTATTATAGTGACAAGAGGATGGATTTTACAATAACAGTCGAACCTAGTTTTAATGGCTAAGCTATGTTAAATCATTGATCACAATCAAATTGAAAAACAATTTTTTCTCTTCCAATTTTTGGCCTTGAGATGCATTGGTTATATATGTAAGAAACAAGCGAATGAGGCATGGTAAGAACAAAACTAACTTCATTGATGGAAAACATAGATGATGATACAAATGAAACACAATGCTTCGGATAACTATCTAATCAGTTATTCTCTTGGTTGATTGCAAACCTAATGAGCTTTTAATGAAACGGAATCAAGAAATTCAAAACGGAACAACATCACACTCATCAAGCGGTTACCTCTGGTATATTCTGATCACGAGTTTCAAAAGTTTCAATCGAAGACTCTATCGCAGTCTTTTCTTCTTCAACAACTTCCCTTAGATCAGCTTCTTTTTCAGTTGGCGGCGTTAAGCCGGGTACAAGAACGGGACCTCCTTCCAAATCGATTAAGCTTCCCTCCACAATCGTCCCTTCTTGATTGTTTAGTGCTGCAGCATTTCCATTGTATCCGTTATAACGTATTTTATCATCCTTTTGAGAACCATCTTCTGTTTCATCATTTTTAAGAATCACATTACTTTTACTCGTTACGTTACTTGTACTTTCCACGAGATCATCCGAGGAACCGATATTTTCTGCAATAATAGCCATTGGCTTCTCAATCGACGAAGAAATACTATCACCAATGTTTTCTTGAATTACTTGTTCATCAACCAGTTTCTCCTCGCCATGAATTCGTGTATCTTCAATACCAGATACGCTGGATACAACGAATTCCGGTTTATCTCGAGAATCATCTAAAGTTTCAGTGGAAGTTGACACTTCTGATAGAACATTTGATTGAGAAAATCTATCTTCCTCTATTACTTTCTGAAGTTCTGCATTCTCCCAATCCTCAGAAACAATTATTCTGTTCATAGTTTCCCATGTTTGAATAACCCGATCCAAACCCGGCTGCCAAATAATATCACCTTCTATTCCCTTTAGTATAAACTTGTACTGGACCGATTTTCCGGCAGGCATATCCACCTCAAGAGTCCATATATGGCCATCAGACCATGTCATTAGTAACGCATCTAAAGGATTCCATGAACCAAGCATAGGATCATCTCCAACTATTAGAAACTGTTCCCCAAAGTCACAATCTTTTAGCAGCCGAAATTCGACGCGAACAAACTTCGATTCATCTGCATTACACACAAATTACAATGTTAAGAATTTTAGTTCTAAAGGAAGAGATGCAGAAGAAAAAGAATAATAATAGATCATTATAAGTTATAACCTACTTGTTTGTTCACTTTGTTGAACTTGAGGCTCAACAGCTTCCAACTCTACCTCCTGCTGTATTCATGCGGAACAAGACTCTCATCAAATATATCAAAATATTCATCAATTCTTAGTTAAGTGCTTACAGCATAAGCAATTATCATATAAGTGTTTATGTATAAGCTATTTCTATAATTTGTTTTCATAGACTCTTAATGTATATACAACAAACAGATAACCCTAAACAAAGACCCATTATTCAAATTCCATCAAACAAGAAGAAAAGGCAAAAATAAACCTGATGTTCTGATGGCACGGCATGAAGAGGGTAAAAACCCTTGTTTTGAACAAGTTTCAAAACACAAAAAATGGATCCTTTTTGTTGATTTCTGAAGGGAATAGTGAAGCAAGAAAAGGGTCTATCAGAAACATGAAAATCAACTCTGGGAGACAAAGACCGTAGCTTAAGGTTTATTGGGTTTGAACTAAAGCTTGTGAAGGCTTTCATCACAGTTAACTAAAATGGTGAAGTTTGATCCTGTAACACAGTGATGGATGTCTGGTTTTTTTCTTCGATTATCTTTTGTTGTTTTGTGTGTTGTGTTAGAATCTATGTGATGCTGGTGGTTTCTAATTGGTTATGTGGGGTCGTTTTTATATTGGTGGAGCCTATGAATTTCATGGTAATATAATAACACAATCTAATATAAATCTTTGTTAACATAATTCTGGGATGGTGAAAAATATATAATAGAATATAATACATATCATGCACCTATTGAATAAGGTAAATGGATCTACAAGTATGTGTCTCTTAGCTACTCGAAAAACTCGTGAATTTCAAGGATAAAAATACATTTTGATACAACATTTGAAGTATTCTTTAGTATCTTTTTTTTAAGAAACAGACATGATATTGAGAAACAACTAGATATCCACTGTCTTTATGGATAATGGGAATAATACAGAGTACAGACAGAGGGAGCTAAAGGTGGTAGTACTTATTGGGAAAAGTAATTACAATTCCAGCCAATTAGCCATTTAAATCAACTTGTACTTGTTTTGGTGAGATAGAATCAACTTGTATTATTTATTTAAAATTTTAACATGATAATAAAACAAAAATATATTAAATTGTTGTAATATAATGTCATTGGACCGATATGAATATTGTAGAGACATCATCAACAATCTCGTTTCATTCACTTATGACAATGCGAGATGCATGGAGAGACTTAAATGAGGTTCGACCATATTGAACACGTGTTTGACACTAGGGAGATCTCGCCACGTTTGACTATATCAATGGTAAAGAGTCACTCAGAGATGGAGCAGGATCCTATGAGTCACAGTCGAGAATATTGGCCGAAGGACTAGGTTAGATGATCACTCTTGTACATTAAAAGTATCATGGTAAGGATATTGTGAGCCACAAACTATGTATTTTCATTGATTGATTGATTCAGATTATCATTACAAAGATAACTTATATAGATTAGAAAGTTAGTTTGAGATCGGTTATAATTTGTAACAAAATTTAAAGTAATTAAAAATGTGTCGTAACAAATTAACTAACTCACTAAATAACAATAGTTAGTATAACTTGATACCCCTACAACTTGGAGGATGGTAAATGTTAACCATTCCAAACTTTGGGTACAAAATCATATAATATCTTTGAATGAGAAGTTTTGGTAAAAACATTAACAACATGGTTTTGAGAGGCTATCAGCAACAACCGTACTAGACTAGCCTGCACTTTTTCAAGAATTAAATTACAATCGATGTCAAGATGCTTTGGGAGATCATGGAAAATAGAATTTGTAGCTATATGTAGAGCTTGGTTATCACAATATTGAGATGTCATTTTAACTGGAGCTTGTAATAGATCTTGAAGCAAGAACGAGATCCGTTGTAGAAGGATATGAGATACTATAGAAACTTGCTATGAGAAGCATGGTTTTCCACCCAATTTTGGGCTTGGAAATGGAAGAAGTAGATCATAAGCAAATCATGTAGATGTTGATGGTTATGAAAAAAAGAAGTCATGCAACAACAATGTAAGAAATAAAAGTGAAGAAGATAACAAAAATTAAACTAACTTAAATTGTGTTGTAACAAACTAACTGACTCATTAAATTGCAATAATTAGTATAGCTTGATATACATATCACAAAATAAATATCTCTTGCTTAGAAAATTGCAGACAAAGTCACTAGTATCGTACTCACTATAAGTACAAGTTGCACCCATCGTAGAGTTCAGTAAAATATTCTTGGACAATACTTTTTCAAGAATTGTGGTACCTAGCTAATCATCGTTTCACAATGGTGGCTACACGGCCGATTTACTTAATAAGAAAGGTTTTTAAAGGAGTCAAGTTGAGGTGTGAGAAGATAGAGAGGTTAGCCTTATCAATATTAGCGATAGCAAGAAAGCTGAGGCCATGCTTTTAAGGTCAGTGTTTATTACTCAAAACAAATTATCAAGTTTGCTTAGTCTTGAAGAATCCACACCAACCAAGATGAATGGTATTGTGGTTAGTATAACTATCTGAATATGATATAAATTTTATTCCATAAGGGAGTATTAAATCTCAAGTCTTAGAAGACATCCTAGTAGAATTTAGTATGCATATTGACGAATACACTTCTCATGTATGGATCCTATTAGTAGACGGGGGCATTGAATCCAAAAAGAAGCGAGATTAAGATAATATTGAAAGGTCCAAGAGAATATTGATTGAAAAATCACTAGAGTTTGAGTTTAGGGCAAGTAATAACCAGGTAGAATACAAAGCTCTAATTGTGTAAATGACATTGTCAAATGAGATGTGGGCATTCAAAATCCGAGCAAGAAGTGACTCTCAACTGGTAATCAATAAAGTCTCTAGCGAATGCCAAACTAAAGAAGCGTAACCTGTAAAGTATCCTAAAAAGGTTTGGGAGGTAGCTATAATTTCTTTAGAGTAACTAACATGCATAGAGAAGTAAATTGTCGGGCGGATCTCCTATAAAACTCATTAACGTGAAGAGTCACTGACAGAGCAAAACAATTATACATGAAAGTCTCCTAGCCCCAACACCGAAGGTGCCACAGTAAAAACCATAAATTAAGCAGGTGATAAGAGTTGGATGCCGATTATTATATAATACTTGGAAAATAAACAACTACCCCAAACAAATAGGAGGTGAGAAATATCAAAATAACTATCTGCAAAATATAACCAAGTTACAAGTAAATTATACAAGATGAAACAAGTCACATCGATGCAAAGATACGTAGGTGAGAATAAAACTACCCATGTATTAATGAGGTACATGAAATTTTATGTGGAAGCTATATCACAGGGAGAATATTGGAGAATTAGTTATTAAGGATCGAGTATTTTTGCCCAAATATGTTGAGAGATAGTGTCGACTTTGTTAACAAGTGCGACAAATGCCATAAATTAACATACTTATGTCACGCCTCAGTCAAGGTCCATCGTTCAATAACCTCGCAATGGTCATTTCACATTTAGAGTGCGGATATTTTGGGTACCTTTCTCCGGGCTTAAATCTAAAATTTCTAATTGTATGCATGGATTACTTCACTAAGTGAATAAATGTTGAAACAGTTATGGACTAAAAATGTACGTGTAGCAAAAAATATGCTAACAAAAAATCAAAAGTGGAGAATATATTTGTATCGTCTCCACATGGATTGTTTTTATCCCGACAAGAATGCAAAAATTATACTTATTATCAGAAAAATAAATAACATAATGTAAATGGGGGTATTTGTTGCGTACTTGAATTGCTTTTGTGAATAATTGTAAAATGCATAAACCAAACTAAATGTTGAGAGTTCTAATGAGAGAAACGATTAATGTCTCCTTTGAATACTTTGCCCTTGGTTAATTCATGTCTGAACCTATAATGACTATTCTTATATCACAACTATTTTACAAAATAGTTGCACATGATTTTCGGCCACATAACCCGCTTTGTCTTACTATAATCCCTTAATGTCATGGCTTGAGGTTGTAATCGATGAAGGGTTAATTGACCATAAAAAACCCATGTCACGAATGACTATACCATATATCTATTGATTATAAAGTAACCGTCTTACGAATAATTTTTAATGATAACATAATCATTAACTTCAATGCCACCAACATGTAACCTTATTTTTTTTTATAATTCATTCCTACTCCACTTTCCACCAAAATTCAAAATTATTCTTAGCATATTTATCTTCTTTAACAATACAATATACTTAAAAATGACTCCATTATCCTTATTAATGACCTTAACAACAATTACTTTATAAGATCTATAAAACACAACTCAATCTCTTACAAAGTAACCCATATGATATAAAATAACATTGAAGTATACATAACTCTACAAGTGTGGTCCTTATTACCATTGAGCGTTACTTTTAACATAATTTTAACAAATGATCGATTATATGATACAAAAAAGGTTAAAGAATATAAAACTTACTTTTAACATACAGCCAATAAAATAAAAGAATATCACGAACACTCCTGTAAAAACAAGAACATGAATGACGAAGAAACACCAAATGACGATGAAAATCGTCGAACTTAGAAAAGTAGAATGCAGAAGCTGAAAACTGATTGTATGATATGAAAATGGTTGCTTGATGATTATGAGAAAACATAATTGTGATTGATGGTTGGGAAGTAGGGTGAACCCTAACTTTAAAACGGAAGCATCATTTTCTTCTCAAATACTTTCTTTCTTTCATGTTTTGATTTTTACAATAGAAATTGTTAATGATAATAATAATATTATTTTTTTCTGTTCATGAACTATAATTGATAAAAAAAGTGAAGTAAGACTCACATGCTGTGAAATGTGCTTTCGGTACGACAAAAGGTTAAAACTCTAATGCTCAAGTGAGTGAATAAATGACAAGTAATATGAGTATGAGAATGCGTAGAATACTTGATTCCTGGCGCAATAATGTATTTATCTTAGCACTCCAACATCTAAGTCAATGAATGAGTGAGAAGTAGTATGAGTGTGAGCATGGGTAAAATACCCGAGTTTTGATGCATGAAGAGCTTTATATAGAGATGACTGTTATAACCCCTTCTGCTTAATCCAGTGTCTCATGCGGATCACCGTTTGATTAGATATGGCAATAATAAATTGGCTGGAGGTCAGAATCGCATGCTCCGAGCTTGAATGTGATTATACATGTTAAACTTTAACTATAGTTGAGGTGACATGTCAGGTAAGCAAATGGTAAATTGAACATTTAACTTCTTGTTAAATCACATTCTCATGATTTAATTTAACAATAGACAATTACTGTTGGTCTGCAAATTTCACAAATTAAGGTTAAATCGCCATCTTCCATCTTCTTCTTCAAATTAGACTTTAATGTCAAAGATTGCAATCAATGCTTAGTTTTTTTGTTGTGAAAAAGATGTCTCTTTGATGTTTTGGAAAAGAATGAATCACAACACAAAAATGCATAGGAACTGTCAGAAATCAAACTTAAAGGAACACAGACTTCCATCGGAACATCCACTACCGCCAAAAGACGTCATCTCTTTTCTTTTCCACAACCAACACCACCTAGCAAACTCAAATCCTCCCCTCTACCTAGAATCCAAAAATCCAAAACTTTAAGAGCAGAAAAATATGAAACACTAATTTTAGGACATATCAAATAACAAGGACCAAGAGTAGAACCAAGCAAAATTGAATCTAAAGAACAAAAATCCCAACTTATTTTCCATCCTCAATCTATTGCAGTTGCAAAAATAGCTCTCAATTTGTAACAAATTTTAATTGGATTAAAAAAATTCAACTATGGAATTGAACAAAGGGGTGAAGTTAAGTGATGATATCAAGAATGTGAGGGTTTTGGAGTAATGTGTTAGAGGAAAATGAGAGAGTAAATAGAAAATTTGAGAAAGAGGATATTGAAAGAGTAGGAAAGATGATCGAAGAAGAAAATTTGAAAGAGAGAATATTGAAAGAGAAGCAAATGTTTGGTGGGAGGGAAGAGAATAAGAATTTTAAGGAGGGGAATGCATGTGTTTTATCGATCTGGATTTCATTGTGTTTTACATTTTGATTGTGTTTTGCATTTTAATTTTTTATATAATAAATCAACTTCAATTTAAGACACTCATAATAATCAATCAGTAAATTAGGAAATAAATCAAATTTGTTGCTTCAGTTTGTCACAAAATTTGAAAAACAAATCATGAGCTTTAAATGACGTGGAAATTATTTTGACTTACTACTTAATGATTTCATCCTGGGGATTTCTCAAATGATGTTCCATATTTTGACTTATTTAATGAAATCTCTCGTAATATTTGATAAAGAGTATGATTGATTGCATATTCAATACATCTTGAGAAGCTTGTACAACATCATTCAAATTTTTCTTTTATGAATAAAATTACATCTTGCAAAAGAAAAATATATAAAAACAAACATTTTAATTTTTATTAAAAAACACAACATAAAAAACATATTCAACACATACATGAGAAGTTTGTACAACATCATCACTATCAATGCATGCCTTTCCCAAGTGATTATAATCTTACATATTTAAAGTATTTCTAATAGACAACCAAGTTTTATGGGATTGACAACAAAAATCAAACAACACCATTGAAGTTTTATGCATACAAGTTACAACACCATAAGAGTGATTCGAATCACACCCTCAAAATGCTAAAACAAAAGTGTAAATTATAGTGATTAAAATGAGAGAAAGATAGTAAATCACACACTCAATTAAAGATAACAAGCAAAATTTAAAGAGTATATGCCAAATGAAATACATACATCAAAAGCTACAAATCATGAAGGAGTAAAAAAGTTACAATGCAACACAAGATTCTACTAGAAAAAGACGGATTCATTCCTGAATGGTAATCTCAATCACTTCCTTATCTTCAAGCGTTTCTTTTTTGGATAAATCCGGTGGAGCATAAATCCTAGGTGGTCCTCTACCTTTATTCTTGTTCCTAGGCCTTGCCTATAACATTTCAAAATAATATTAGAACTTGTAGAAATAAACATCCATAATTATTTCAGCAAATATCCATAACAAATAATAATAAAACCTAAGTGTTTCTAGTTTTATAATAGTCTCAAATTTTATATTCAAGTCTTGTATTCACTTTGCAATCTTACAAATTGAATTAATAGACACAATATTAACATAAAATTAAATAAAATAAATATAATCATACTCAGACATCATTTGTCTATATTTAAATTGACATATGAAATGGAATGAGATGAAATGATATAAATTTACTCCCTCTGAACTCATATATAAGCAATTTTACAAAAAATTTCACCCTTTAAAAAAAATATCTAAATACATTTAAAGCTACGCTCTTTCTAATTTACTCTTACTTTTTTGCATTGGAAAATCATTAAAAACATATAAATGTGAAAAAAGTAGGGGTATATTTAAAATAATGATATTGAATATAATAAATATAAATGACTTTTACTTATATATATTTAAGACTATTGAAATTTTTTTTTGCTTATATTTGAGACCGGAGGAATTGCTTATAGAATATTTCATTATTTTTCATATTTCTTTTACCTTTAAATTATGTTTAGAAGTTTGGAGGGAGAGGAAGAGAGAGTTTTGAAAAATAATTTTTCTAAAAGTTATAGAGAAATTAAAAAAAAAAAAAGATTTTGTATAGGATGATAACATAATACTTATCATTAAAATATTTTTAATTTTTAAAATACTATGACAATAAAAAATTATATTTAAACAATTTATTTAAACCCACAAAAACACTTCAAACCTCTTATCCAATACAATTTTTTAATTCCTTTTAATTAAAGAATTTTGAATTTTGAATAAAAATAAACCCCAAACCCTCTCACCTAAATACTTATATTCTTTTCACTCATTCTTTCCATATTTTCAAAACTCTTCCTTCCTTTCTCCTCAAATGTCTCAAACAAAATCTTATAATTTGGAGGGAACGACAAAATTAATATATTCTATGTGAGATATCCAAACAATAAAATCAAATATTTATTCCGCTTCATTTCATTCTATTCCATCTTATTCTATTCCGTTTATTTTACAATAATATCCTACTAAATCTAATAAAACAAAATGTATACAATTATTGAAATAAAAACATATTTAAGCCTACTACTAATAATAATTCAAGAAAACAAAAAGATATAAATTTTTTAATAAATAAAACAAGTATGGAATTTTCAAAGGGTAAAATAGGAAAAGAGAAGAGAACATTACATTTCCAAACGAATGGATGAAGCGTTTTCCCTTTGCAGTTTTCCTATCGCCTCTACCACAATACACTGAAAAACCCCAAAAAAGCGCAAAATTGAAAAACCATTGTTAAAATTCACATACAATAAATCAAAACAATTACAAAGTTTACCGGAGAAATTACCAGAAGGAGTGGTTGGTGAAAGAGACGAGATTGAAGAAGAAGCTGAGAGCGACGGCAATGATGAAGTGATGAACGATGAGTGAAGAATTTGGGAGCGGGAGAACGAAAGGTGAGAGCAGGAAGATTGAAATTGAATGGAGAGTGGAGAAGGTGGTGCCAGAAGAAGTGATGATGCGGTAGCCATGACTGAGAGGATAGAAAACAAAGTGCGATAAGGTTGGTTTGAGAGGAATATATGTGCGCTCGCGGAGAGATTGTTTAGATCCAATGGTTAAGAATGCACATCTAGTTAGCAAATCACTTCAACCGTTGATTTTGATATATTTTTTTTAAAGAAGTATTAGTAATATTTTAAATATGACTTTTTTATTTAAAATTTGAAAGTACTTATCTTTTAAAAAAAACTTTTACAAACTTTTTTACTAATAAATAACTTTATAAAGGTGTTATTAAAAGCTACAAAAGTAGCTATTATAAAAAAGATTTTTGTAATAAATAACTTTATAAATGTGTTATTAGTGGCTTTTAAAAAAATACTATTTATTTATAAAAAAAGGTTAAATTTAATCTTTATTAAGAAAGTTAAATTTAATCTTGCCTATGACATGAATCAAATAGGTAATAATGTGAATATTAAGTTGTTGTTTGTAAGCAATACACAATATAGTCAAGTACAATAACAAAAGAGTAAAGGTTATTATATCACAATCTAGATGTAGTAAAAAAAAAAAAGTTTGCATATTTTTGGGAATGAATGTGGCTAACAAAATTGTAATGTGAGTTAAGAATTGTTTTATGCGTTTTATGTTATGGTTGGTGTGTAATATTTTGGGGGGAGCAGACAACATTTTTTCTTTTGGCTTAAAGTAGACTTAATATCAAGTGAAAGCTTGTCAAACATCAAAAAGGAGGGAGAACGTAATTGCATGTCCCTAATACATTCAGGAGAAGTACCATAATACAATGGTTTTGTTGCTTGTCTTATCGCTTTCACTTTCATTTATTTTCATTTGTTGAGTCTCCTTCATAATTGCACATCTTCTCTAAATTAAGTTTTTGAAACGATTCGTTCTTAGCATGCATAAATCAATTTTTATATTTGAGATTTGATCATGATGGCTTAAGGCAATTGCCCGAGTTAATGAAACAAGAACCATAAGTGATATCAATTCAAGTCATGTGGGAAGTGAAATCTCAAGCTATTTTAAAAAACTTGAAAAATTAAGATTTCTTGTGTGTGATATCAAACCATTAGTTTCAAGACGGTGTCTCCTTCAATCAATTAAGATTTCTTGGGAAGTCAGAGGCAAAAAAGAAAAAAATTTGGTGTCTGTGATTCAAATCACATATTACACATTCGAATCTTGCAACTCTGTGATTCGAAACACAGTTTGTGCATGACTTGAATCATAAACCTCCTGGTAGCCACCGACTTGTCTGATTTGAAACAGGCTTAACACATGATTCAGATCATGAACCCGAGTGACTCGAATCTCAGTTAAATCACAGGAAAATAGGTCACTTTAGTTATGAGATCTTATTTCACACTACTTGCTCATTTGACTCAAAACATGAAATGCATATGACTCGAATCTAACAAACTTTTTTCTTTCATTTTTGTGCTTAATCTCAAGCACATATAAAATAATTTTGTCATCATTTTTCACGTGTGAATATCATAATCAACATTGTAATTGATTGAAGGAGACACCTTCTTGAAACAAATTTCTTTCATCTACAAGTTTTGAAAGTTCAAAAAATCTTATAACAAATTGCTTTCCTCTTCAAGTTCAGTTTGATTTCAGATATTGATCATGAGAAATTTTTAACTGGTTGAAGGAGACACCGCCTTGAAACTAATCTTTTTTAAAGATTTGGTTGAAATTTTCAGGTAGCTTGCAAGATTGAGATTGTTGTCATTGTTGATGACAAGTTTCAGTAAAAAGAATGAGGCTCTCCTATCTAGATTGCCTTGGTATTGACTATGTGGAAGGCTATGGACAAAACAAAGTTCTTCTCAAATTTTCATAATATTCATCGATCAATAAATCAATAGGATTAAGGGGTAATTGCCACACACAAAGGCTTGAAGCAAATTAGTGATATTGGAAGTTTCAAGAAGTGTTAATTGAGTAAAGACTACACATAAGAGTTTGGCATTATGCTATATACAACTCAAGATCCAGATAGGAGATTTTAGTTTTCTCAGCATTATTGTGGATTGGTTATTGTATGAACTCTTGAAATATTTGGTAAATAAAAAGGAACAACAATCTCTACCAAGGTAATAAACCTATCAACATATGATTATATGAAAACGAAAAAAAACAACCTAAACATGTAATTCTATGAAAGTAACATAGAGAGAGAGAAGAGATTATGCCGAATGTATAGTGGTTCAACTATCGTCCTCATTTATCCTACTTCATTCTCCAATGGGTTTCCATTGAAAATGTTGGTCTTCCACTATCGTTTGTGACAAATTACAAGACGTTCAATGAAATCACTATCAGAATAATGCTGAAAATACATAATCTCCTAGCCGAATACCCGTTGAATTATACACATTATAAAAAAATGAACCCTAACGAAATCTTTACTTAAAATCATCGTGAACCTTCCAACACCAAGAATGTTGCTCCAAAGTCCTCATTTTGTAGCAATCTTTCCTCGATTCTACTGGTATCTTAAGCCTTGGCTTATCCGAAGATTGAGAAGAACTCCCAATTTTTCTATAGGCTTCCAAACAAAACTACCAAAGTAGTTCTAGAGAGAAAACCCCCCTTCTTTTCCGATGGACTTGTCAAAACTACCCACAATCATACACACTTTTCAAACCTCTTAAATCTTAAGAAATCTTCAAAGAAACATTAATTACAATAACAAAATCTCCTCACAAATGAAACATCACAAAAGATGAGATTTAGATCCACACGAACATGGAAAAAGAATGTGGTAGAAGGTGAAATAATTTGTTTGCAAAACACTCAAAACAGATTAAAAAAATCTTTTGAAATTGAGAGAACAAATTGTAAAATTTCAATTTAATATTGGAAGTGTATGTTTTACAACATTGTGAAAGGTTTAGAGTAAAAATGCTTTTATATATGCTGGAGATATAACACAAAAATGAGTGAAAAATGGTGTTTGATTCGAGTCATAAGAAATGAGTATGATTTGAGTCAAAGGACCAAGTGATTCGAATCAAGATCCAAGAACATATTAGAACCCATTTGTGTGATTTGAGTCACATATTCTGTGATTCGAATCACATGATTCAAGTCACAAAGATATGTGATTTGAATCAAGATTACATAATCAAAAGGAAAGGAAATGCAGTCTTATATGATTCAAAACAATTAGTTTATGATGTGAAACAAGCAGTTATGATTCAAATCATGGATGTTGTGATTTGAATCATTGCAACATGAAAAAAATTCATGAATACTTTGTGATCGTTATTTGAGTCAAGCAATAGTGTGATTCGAATCACAGTTCTAGAATCTTAATTTTAGAAAAATGTAAAGATGTTTTGAGATTCTATCATTGTCATGACTTTAACCATTCTCAAATACATTTCTTGATCGAAAAACTCAACAAAATAACTTGAAGCATATTGCTTAAAATATAACCAATGATTTATGCATGTGTAAAAACGGATTTAAAATTAAACCCTAAGATGTGAAATCTATAAGTAGACTTGATAACAGTATAAACAAAACCAAAATCTATAAAACAAGCAATCAAAACATAAACTCAGGAGGTAGAGACAATGCAACTTCAATCCCTTGCTTATTTATGCTTCGTAAGCTTGCCATTCGTATTGAGTCAACATTAAGCATACGTAAATCATGATCAATGATTTCTTCCATTTTCTTGTGCTCCCCCAAAAAAACATCTCTAAAAAAAGCACGAAAAACATAAATTGAATAAATCAAATCTAGAATCACATTATAAATTCTCCCCGTTTGACAATATCAAAACGAGATAGGTGGTAATGAGTGTAAACACAAAATAACTAGCAAACAAAATGATAATCCAGAAAAACAAATGAGCTAAACATAGCTAATTAGAATATACAACAAATGAGGATATATTTAAAATATACGAAGATAGACATGTTAAATGCAATAATATGTACAACATGAAATGAGATTACACAACAACATAATTAGGTGTTTAAGATAAACATGAGTGCAATTGCACATCCCTAGTACATTCAGGGTGAGTACCCTAATGCATTGGTTTTTTGCTTGTCTTATAACTTTCATTTTCATTTACTTTTTGTTTATTTAGCCTCCTTCATAATTTCCCATCCTCTCTAATCAAGTTTTTGAAACGATTCATTTTTAGCATGAATAAATCAATTGTTATATTTGATACCTGATCATGATGGTTTAAGTCAATAACATGGGTTAGTGAAACAAAAGCCATATGTGATATAAATTCAAGCCACGTGGGAAGCAAAATCTCAAAGTATTTTGAAAATTTTGAAAATTTGAGATTTTTGGTGCGTGATTCGAATCACTCACAATCCATGACTCGAATCAAGAAAAACATTGGAAAAATAGGAAAATTTTGGTGTTTGTGGTTCGAATCATATATTACACCTGATTTGAATCATGCAACTCTTTGATTTAAATCACAATTTGTGCATGACTCGAATCACAAACTTCCTGGTAGCCACTGACTTGTCTGATTCAAATTATGCTTAACACATGATTCAAATTATTAATCTGTGTGACTCAAATCACAGTCAAATAAAAGGAAAATGGGTCACTTTTGTAACACCCCAATTTTTAGTAATTATTTATTTAATTAAATTAATTGATTTACTTGATATAATTGAATTAGTTAATTTATTGAATTTATATGAAGTATTTGATTTATTTAATTTATATGAGTTAATTGATTTAATTGATATATGTGATTTATTGAATTAAATTAATTTATGTGATTTATTTTATTGGTATAATAAAATGTAGAATTGTTAGAATTAATAATTGGGCTTAATCGAGGGTGTGAATAGAAATTATGATGGTGAGTTAGTAAAACCAATAGAATTATAAGAGAAATTGTGAGATTTATAAAATAAGAGAAAGAGATAGAATTAGGGTTTTAGAGAAGAGAAGTTAGTAAGAGAAGGAAAAAGAGAATAGAGAACATAGAAGAGAAGAAGAGAAA